CAAGTGTTGGGAGGCAGAAAGAGCCTTCTTTGTGAAACGTGGTGGAGAAGGTTTTCACACACGCCGCTGCGGATCTGACGCGGGGAGCAGTGTTTACAGCCGTGATAGGAGGATAAATCGGGGACGTTGTGGAGAGTGCAGAGCAGCTTTTTACTTCTGTGTAAATGATGCGTGCAGATAAGTGTGGAGGAGGTGAGCAGCCAGCTCCGGGTTTTAAAAGAATATCATGAACCTGGGAAAGCAAAGTCGGTGAAGTTGGAAAGTGAGACGGCTTTTCGTGGCTTGTGCTCTCACCGTGGGGACAGAGACGTGAATAACCTGAGTTCAGCACTGGTTTGGGGCACGGTTTGGTTGCGTTCTTAAGGACTGTCCCTCCATTCGTGGACTGCTGTTAGAAAGGGTGAGAAGGGCGGTGGGGAGGCGTTCCCCTGGTTTATGTTGTGGATCAATCCAGATAGGACCAAAAAAAGAAAAAAAAAAGAGGAAAATAGCCAAAACGCTGCAGGGTTCTGGTGTCCCTGAGGATGGACAGCATTCGGGCGGCTGATGATGCCAACAGGGAAGAATCCCCAGATGGTTTTGAGAAACTCCATGTAGTTTTGAGAATGAATACTTGTCCTCCTGTACTGCTCTCCCCTTCCTGCACACCAGTTGTTTTCCTCCTTTTTTTTTGCGTTTTAGCCATGGTGCCACTTTCAGATGAAGAGCATGGCCTCATGATATGATTTTTGCGTATTTATAAGGTGTAAGTCTTTCCTGATGGAGTAAATAGAATTAAATGAACCCTGCATTTTTTTGTGAGGGCACGACGGAAAATGTCCTGAGATGAAGTTAAGCCCTCGTGACTAGCTAAACATGACTTAAAATAACTTGGCATTAAAGAGCTTTTGCTGTTACCCACTGGCCCGTAGCTCACTGCTAGGTGGTAATATCAGCTGCATTTGCAAAAGCTTCTGATTTGAAACCTTAATGATTGTAGTTTATTGCTGTTCTAAGTGTCAAACTGATGAGGAGAACCCATGCTTTTTACTGGCTACTTTTTATTTGGGTGGGTGGAAAGCAAACATGTGAGACGTTGTCACCTCTTGCCTCGTACGGCAACGTCACGGCGACTCATTTAATTTATTCATTTCCCCCTGATAACTGGTACAGATGCAGCCCGAGTGGGTGGGGAAGGGAAGACAGGGAGCCCTTGCACCGCAGAAGGTCAAGGTTAAGGCTACCTCCGGCGTTAGGATGACAGATGGGAGGCAGAAAAACCTTCATGTACTTGTGATTAGCAGATAGGTTCCTTGGCAGAGTGCTTGAAGGATTTAAGAAGCCCAGGTACGCGTTTCGTAGCGCACGCAATCAAAAACAAATAACTAAAAAGCGTGCGTGGTTCTGTCGTTTAGCCTTTTGGATCTTTTTCTTTTTTTCATAACATTTCCACTGTGGAGTGAAGCACCATCAGCCGCTGGGTTCTGGAGACGCGCCGGGGTCATCCGTCACGGGGGGCTCGCGGGCGGGTGATGGGTTATCGCGACATATCGACCTGTGTAACTCGTCGAGATAATGTTGGCAAGCGTCGTACAAAAGCAGCGTGTTTAAAGAAGTATTAAGACGAATTGATCCCTTGCTTAAGAAGGGTGAAAGGAAGAATAATAGCAGATTAGCGCCGGGATCCTGCGCTTCCTTGGGGGCCGTGGGGTGCCGGGAGGGAGGGCTGGAATTTTGTCTCACCTCCTGTGACAGGGTCTGTTGTCACTTTCGAAAGTGGTTTGGCCTGTCCTGAAGCATTAGGGGAGAGATTATTTTTGTTTAAGTTTGGTTTGTTTTTTTCTTTTACTTTATTGTGTTACCTTTTTCTTCTCAGAATAGCCCTGATTTTTGTCTCATGGTGACATCCTATGGCCTCTAGTATTTAAAAAGCGTTCCAGAAGTGGCGTTACGACTGAAACTCCGTTTTCAGTTCTTTCTTTCGATGTCTTAACAGACACGAAGGGGAGAGAAGTACGGGCACACCCAAGGCATCTCCTTGTCTGAGCAGGATTGCTTCACTCGTCGGATCTTCCATTGCTCCCCGTGGTTCGTTGCAGGGACTCGGCAGTCTGCCATCACTTGGGTGACACGCTGTACTGAGTTAAGAGGAACCTGTATGTCTGGATGTTATTTTAGCCCAAATGTCCTCAAAAGATTAGGTTGGAAATGTCTACCTAATATGCCTTCTACTGAAATAGTCAGATACTTGATAATATTTACTACGTCAAAGCTGCTTGGAATACTTATTTATGGCTTCTAGAGAACGCACAAGTCCTTTCTCTCTCCTCTCTTTCGAATTTGGAAGGAAAAAAAATCTGAAAAAGTTCTCGTCAGCGGCCGAGGGGCTGCAGATCTCTGGTATTCATGTGGTGAAAGTCAAGACTGTGTCGGGTCTTACTGTCGTGAGTAAAATACTTGTCCTACTTTCATCAAGAAATGTGTGATGGTCTGATAAACTCTGCCCACCAGTGCAGTCTTGGCAATGATCTTGCACTGCAGCCTGCATAATAATTTTCATTATTTTTAATTAAAGTTGAAGAATTGCAGACTCCTGCTCAAATTAAGGTTGGTTGTGTTGCCGGAATGTGGTAATTACTTTAATTGATCACAAGATAGTTTCCTTGATCACCAATTAGACCAAATTACCGATCAAGTTTCAAGACGTGAAGAAATGTCTAAACTGATTTTATGTAATAGTGTTTTCATATCTAATCAAACCTAAATATCTTTTCCTTCCAGAGCCAATTGTATTTTCCCAAAGAAAGGTTACGGCTCTACAAATATGAAGGTGATTCCTAAACAATAGTGTTCCAATTAATTTAATTAGCAGAGGAAGTATTTAGGACCTTAATGGAGATTGCGTCGGTGAAATTGCTCAGCAGAGCCATAGCTCGTTTTCTTAACGGGAGATTCTTTTTGCATGTAATTAAAATAAACTCAAATGCAAGAACTGAGTTGCTTTGGGTTGTGTGCAACGAGGGAGAGCGTCTCTGAGCAGAGCAGGGCCTGGATGAAGGTGAGTGTGCCTCTGGGGGGTGCCTGATCTGTCCTTCCCCACAACACCAGATCGCCCGGGTTGGGACAGTCATGGTCAGCGGGAGCCAGGAGCAGCAGGACCTGTCCTGGGGAGGGTCCTCTGTGCCGGGATTAACTCCTCGTCGTGACTCGGACAGCCCCAAGCTGAGCATTGGTTGGGAAGACGCGTGGTTTTAAGGCTGATGTCCATCTCATCTAGCTGGAGACTTGCAGGGAAGGAGGCAGCGAGTCAGCGTGGTGGTTCCGCCGACCGGGAGGATTCGTCGTTGCGAAGCGTGCAGGAAGCTCTGCAGAGCGGGTGAATTTAGTCAACTCGTTGGCTTGTGTCGCTTGCCCTGACGGCCCTCCCGTGGAGCCATAGGGGTTGTCCCACAGGCAGTGAGTTGTGTTTGTGTAGTGCTGCAGCCCACACGTGTGCACGGCTGCGCGAGTTCCTGGGATGCCGGTCGAGTGTACATGAACCTCGTAAGCGTTTTCATAAATTTAATATATTTGTTTTCTCTTGCTGTTTGTACAAAGACAGTCTAGTTGCCCGATGCGTTGCTGTTTGAAGCTTTCGGGGACGTTTCTGTGCCTGGGTTGCGGTTGTTGGAAATCGCATTCCTGATAAGCCCATGGACACTCTAAAAATGTTGAAATCAAATATCATTCAGCACTATTAATGCAGAATTATTTTCCACATCATTGTTAACATCTGATGCACAACTTGCAGCTCTCTGCTTCAAAGCGTGCTGCTGAAACATTTGCAAATTTTTATACGTAATTGTTCGCTCGGAGTAAATCGAGCGAGAGCTTCAAGGGAAGTTAAGATTTTCCCGAATTTTGGAATGCTCTTGGGTCAAAGAAAAAAGCTTTTTAATTGCTGACAGTTTGGTGATTTCCAAATGACAAACCTCATTGGAATGATTTTCTCTGATTATAACGTTTGCGTTCATTTGACTGGCAAAGCGACTAACAAAGTCATACTTCATCCAGGCACCAATTCTTTTTTTTCGACTTAAAGGTTTTTGTAATTTGGGAGAGGAAAAAAGACTTGAAACTATTATCGACCATTATATGTTATTCATTGACCACATGTTTGTTTGAAATAGCCATCGCGTGGTGGAATGCGGCCTATATGCATTCTCTTCTATAAATTGGCACTAAAAACTACCTAAATCAGGTAGGGTTTTGTTGGGCTTGTATTATAATATGAACCAGACTATAGCGTGGATGTTACTTCAGCTTTGCATGTTAATTCAGGTCCTGAACCCCGATGGATGGGGCTCAGTCAGAACAAGCCCCCCTGACTTAGAGGCGTCCTGCTCACGTAATTGCGTTCTTGATTTATGTGGACGTTCTGATTTTTTTCATATAACGCAGTGATTTGCTCCTAAGGGCCTGCTATTATTTTCTCCTCGAGCCAGCGATAAAACCTGCGTCCTGGGGGGAGCGTGCAGTGCAGGGTGTGGGGGCAGAGGAGTGGATATTTTAACTCATTTTAAGGGAGAATGTTTTCTCACAGAGCAGAGGGGCAAACCCACCTGCCACCCTTCTTCCCCCCCAGTGAAATAAAGAGCGAAATAGCTCCACGAAAGGCTGTTTCCAGCATCGGTAATGCCGTAGCGTGATGTGTAGTTGGAAACTGCATGATTGTAAGATGCAGCAAGGGGTGAGGGAGTTGGGGCAGTCATTTCAAATCCCTGTTTGGATGCCAAAGGTAAAATCATTGTTCTCGTGCAGTGGAATCCTGGAATAAGTAACTCCGAGCAGTGATTTACCAGGGCTGGAAGGGGACGATTTTCAGGAGCCTCAGGAAACGTCTCGGTGGCGTGAGAATGCAAAAGGCTCCATCAACGCACATAAAGGTGCAGCAAACCTGGAGTTCTTGAGGGTTTTGGGGTGAACCTTTCAGATCCTGACAGGTAGAAGAGTATTTCCCCCTTTGCTCTTTCTCTCCTTAGGCTTTTGGATTTATGACGCGCGTTGCTCTGCAAGCAGAGAAGATGAATCACCACCCGGAGTGGTTTAATGTCTACAGCAAGGTAACGTGTCCACCAGCCCTACTTACAGGCATGGCAGGTTAAGGAGACCAAGCCACTGGCCCATTCCCTCTGCCTTTTTTTGTAGCTTCTGTACAGAGAAGGGAATGGGAGGAGGTTGTATCTTTGTAAAAAGGTTTGAGATTTTAAAGAGATGCTGAGCTACTTGAGGAATCAAAATTTGCGATGATTCCTGGCTGTGTGTGTCGCTTCACCTCTCTGGCTGAGATCTAAGAAGCCTTTAAGCTCGTATTTAGCCAACCTGAATAAATTCCTGTTTTGAAACGAGTCACCAACTCCCATTCCTTTCTGTGCAACAAGTCAGGGGTGCAGCCTGTCGATGTGTAGGTACCTAAAAGGGAGCCTGGCAGTCTCAATTAAGTCTGATTTATTTTTTTTAAAGAATTGTAGGCACCTATGTCTCAGCATAGCAGCTTATAAAATCGGTTTATAATATTACCTAACTGATGGCGGTCTCGTATGTAAAAAGGTATATTGCAACCCCTGAGTGAAAGGTGCTGTGTGAAGGGGGAAATTATTACTCTCCCTTTATTTTTGTTTTCTAATATGCTGCATTGTCTCGAGTTGTTTATTTTAGCATTTGGCGAATACATGGCTGTCCTGCTAAAAATATGCTCAAAGGACACGTGGACAAGCAGCCTGTGGCTGGGAACCACCCCCTAGAGCAGGACATCCCCATCTCTCCCCCTGGACAGAGGCATCCCGGCACAGGCTGCTCCTCATCGGTTCTTTAGGTCACCCTGTTTAAGGGGACAAACTCCTAATCATCTACTTTTCATTATTTTCTTGACTTTCCAGAATATTCAGAATTTGTCGTTTTTTTTCCCCCTCCCTTCTTCTCCCAAAATCTCAGCCGAAGGCAAGACAAAGTAACGCCCAACTCATCATCTGGTTTAGTCTAAACAAACGCGTGCAGGCAGCTGCGTCATAGCAAAACGCAGCAGTCCGTTTGTTTTTCTTTTTGAAATTAATCTGCAACAAGCTGAACAATTTCGAGTTTTTTCACCTTCAGGGTGCTGATTTTTAACAAAACGCGGAGCCCCTGACTTGGCTGGTGGCAGCTTGCTCACCGGCCCAGGTTCTTCAGGAAACCGATACGTGGAATTTAAATGGAAAGAAGGAGTTATTTAATGGTTCGCCTCTTCTTGGATGAAACCCAAGAATGCAAAGCCTGGTTTATTCTGCGAAGGGCCTCGCTTTGCTTCAGCTGGAGGCTCTGTTAAGCCTCCTCACCTACACATCTCCTGGTTTACATGAGCAGTGAGTGTCCAGCGGGGAGCATCGTGTAAAACCAGCTCACTACAGAGACACGCAGCGTTCCCCATGAATAGCAGAACTAAAATGCCTTCGTAACCCCTTTCTTTTCCTTTTCGACAGGTTCAGATAACCCTGATTTCCCACGACTGTGGTGGACTGACCAAGAGAGATGTGAAACTGGCTCAGTTTATTGACAAAGCTGCTGCCTCGGTGTAACCAAGATGTAAAATGCTTTAATAAATTGTCCAACAAGATTTTGTATTCAAATTACATCCCTCATTCCTTGTAACCTTGATTTCACAAAACCCACGAGATGAGATATTTTGTAAGAAGAGTGGCTTAGCTTTTTTGGCCTTTAAGACCTGAGTCTTGAGGCCTCTCTGGGTGCCTGGCTTGGTTCCTCTGCCTCGGCCGGTGACCGCTGGCCCATGAGAGGGGGGCTAGTGAAAGCGGTGCAAGCTGCTGCTGAGGTTTCCTTGGAACTGCAGCTCAACCAGCAGCTACAGCTTCATGTTTTGGTGTTTTTCTGTGCTTCTGCCGACGGCTGTTGGAACCCATCCGCCCTTTTGGCACCCACAGCCCAGCAGCTGTACCCGCTGCCGGCCTGAGAACCGTCCTTCGTCTGAGATGTGAGACTGGATGCTGCAGCTGCTGAAAACTTCACCTCTGGGTCCAGCGAGTTCGAAGAAATCCCGGTGAGCTCCTGGCACTCGCATCGTTAAACGAAGCGTCCACTTCAGTGCTTGGCTGGGCTGGGTGAGAGCTCAGCACCTCGCAGGATTGAGCCGCTGTTTGGGGTG